GTCGATGTAAATCCATTAAATCTACTTTTTTGAGATTCCAGTTTTAATATCGAAAAACAAGCTACACGTTTTTCGACATTCGCCAATATCAAAAAACAAGTAGAAAGAGTAATTTTTATGTGAATCCACTGCTCAGACATCCTCATTAATGATATCTTTAGTTTGTTTTACAAAACTGATTTAATCAAATGGGTTTTGGAGACATTCTGTAGATATACAACCATCAAATCTGCTTTTTTGAGATTCAAGTTTGAATATCGAAAAACGAGTAGCTCGTTTTTCGAGATTCGCCAATATCAAAAAATAAGGAGAAATATCAATTTTATGTGAATCCACTGCTCAGGCATACTCATTTATGATATTTTTAGTTCGTTTTAGAAAACGTATTTAACCAAATGTGTTTTGGAGAATTTCTGTAGATATACAACCATCAAATCTGCTTTTTTGAGATTCAAGTTTGAATATCGAAAAACGAGTAGCTCGTTTTTCGAGATTCGCCAATATCAAAAAACAAGGAGAAAAAGCAGCTTTTATGTGAATACACTGCTCAGGCATCTTCTATTACGATATATTTAGTTTGTTTTACAAAACTGATTTAAATGTGTTTTGGAGACATTCTGTCGATGTACATCCATTAAATCTACTTTTTTGAGATTCAAGTTTGAATATTCGACAGTCGCCAATATCGAAAAACGAGCTAGTTGTTTTTCGTTATTCGCCAATATCGAAAAACGAAAAACGAAAATCGAGCTAACTTCACACTGCCAATGGATTAAGGGAAGTATTAAGTTAAAACTAATGGACCAGTATGTACAAGAATGGAGGTCGAAAGTAAACAACAGTAGCAAGTGTCTTAACTATTGAATATTTAAATATAGTCTTGCATTTGAAGAATACCAAGTAAGCCTGCCTTGGAAATACAGCGTTAGTTTCACATGATTTCGATGTAGAAGTCATTTGCTACCAATAGGAACTGGCTTTTTCACAGACACATCTAAAAATAGAATATGTACATTATGTAATAATAATGAAGTTGGTGACGAATATCACTATATATTCAAAATTCAAGTGTTCTTTATTTCTTTTTTTAACTCGTTTATAACAGATCTCCCTCAACCGATAAAATGAAAGATGTATTTGATGTTAAAGGCACAAACTTAATCAAATTATTTATATCATATCCATAAATCTTATTTGTGTTTAATGTCACTATGTAAGGATAAAAGAAATTCATTATTGGTTTTAAATGTAGGGTCACTAATTGTGACTGGCCATACCTTTTCACGAAATTTGTTTTCGCTTGATTGCATCAATACACATGAGTTTAACAACTTCGCAAGCTTTTCGCATAAAACCGAAATCTAAGGCCTTTAAAATCCCGAGGTTCTCGGTTTCAAAATCAGTTGCACATGTAAACACTCAACAAGCCAAGTGATGCCACATCTGAACGAAGACCAACGCTGATGAATGTTTCTCGCCTTTGGGATAGGTACCGACAGCGAAGATCAACACGTGACCGCCGAAGCTCAGGCCAAACAAAAGTGACCCCACTTGCCCTGGATCGTCACATCCGGTTACGTTATTTGCGGAAACGGTTCACAACAGCGACCTCTACTGCAGCAGCATTTACTGGACAGCATAGGATCTTAGACCAGACAGTCCATAGACGCCTACGTGAAACCGTATTACAAGCCAGACGTCCCGGGACGTTAGCGCTGTTGTTTTAAAATAGGCCGACACCGTTAAATCCGTGGGTACAGAAACATAGGTTCAGCGACGAGTCGTGGTTCCTGTTGCAACGAGGCGATTGTAAAGCGAGGGTATACCGACGACGAAATTTAAGCATGTGTTTCTTTTTTTGAGGAATATATATTGTTAATTCAAGTCAGTTCGGTAATTGCTATAACACATGAAACAATTATATGGAATACAAGAATAACACAGTACTATCCTGCACCGCCAACTACAACATCCCTATAATGATCAGTGCAATTAGAAAACCCATCAATTCAGTGTGGTATAATTAAAGAAAAACATAGCAATTCAGTGTGGAAAATAAACCTAGTTTAACTTGATACACGTATATTTCACACAGTTATCTGCACACAGCCCCCCCCCCCCCCGGAAGTGATATGTATATAGACTTGAGGGGGGACAAAATATTTACGAGACTTCAGTTTCGAACTCACCCACGGCCTTATGAGAGAGAGAGAGAGAGAGAGAGAGAGAGGGAGGGAGGGTTTGACGTCCTCTCGACACAAACTAAGTAATTTCGGGACTAACATATGGTTCAATTTTATTTCAATAATTTGCTTGCGCGTAGGGGTCTTTAGCAGTGGGAGGAAACTGGAGGGCCCGGAGAAAACCCACGAGGTTGGACAGCCGACCCTACACTGTATCAAGTACAACTGGGGAATCGAAACCACGACGCTTGACTCAATGAGAGACGTTATGATACAACGCGTACATACATGATTTCTCTATGATCTACCACCAAATTGGGGCAATCAGTTATAGGTCGCAAATGGAAAGATTGTAAAATCATATTCTATTAAACAGGAAAATGTCTTACTTATAAATACTTTCTTTAAGATATCCACCACAAAATAGGACAACCATTTATAAATAAATGGAAGAAATTCCCACTAAACCAATCTATGGCTGTAATAAGCCGCAAGCGGAAATATTGCAAAATTATAGTCTAGTATACAAAATAAGTTATTGCGTATACTAGTACTTATTTGCGATATCACTACTGTGAAAGCAAACGTTAAACCACCAGCTACTACGTAGTTTATTGAATAGTGGCGACGTTTCTGCGAGTGTTCTCTCGTCTTTGTCAAGCAAAGAAAGATAGAATTTATGTTTACTGGTCGGTTGCGAAGACAATACTATGTAAGATTCTCTTTCGGGGATACCATTCTTAATACTTTTTCCTTTAATACTACTAACCCCAGGCACTGTTCTATTACAACTAAAATCCTTAAAATTACAAGCCCGAGTCTGCGTTCTCTAAAACTCTATCGAAACCAAAACTGCCTTTACTAAGATGCCTTTCGTTGGGACCAAATCACGACCAAATATTTAGCATAATTAAATTTAATCTTGAACAAATACAGATTTACAGTTTAAAATGGATCTAAGAGAGCACTAGTTCCCGAAATGAATTGTTTCCATTGACGAGAAAATAAGAACCATGCTTCACTCTCAACTGGCTAGATTCTTTGGTATGACCTTTTCCATTAATGATGGAAGCTTACACACGATGCATGTATAGAAAATTCAATTTCTTAAACATACATTTCAGTCAAATTGATCCACCCTGAACCGAGTATTTAGCGATTGAATTTTGGTCCTAGCATCGATCATCATTACTAAAGTCGGTACGATAAAACATAGTCTCGATTATCCTGTTTTTGATTAAATCAGCAGCAGCAGACCGGGTTATAATCCAGTAAATATCACAGGCTAGCGATGATATCGAGAGTTGGTTATGGTCTGGATAAGTTAATTAATGTCTAATTAATAATTTAGATAACATTTCAGACATAAAGAAAGCCCTGCAATTGGCAGATTTAGCTCTTACATAATGTATGTTTAATTAGGCATTAATTAATTTATCCAGACCATAATCAACTCTCGATGTCATCGCTAGCCTATGATATTTACTGGATTAGAATTCGATCTGCTGCTCAACGCTCATTGATGATTAAATAAAAAAATATATATTCGAGACTATATGTTTTATTGTACCGACTTTAGTCATGATGATCGAGGCTAGGCCTAAAATTCAATCACTAAATTCTCGGTTCAGAGTGGATCAATTTGACTGAAATTTTCAGTAAATTTCCTTTACATTATCTAGTTTTTAACTATTATAGTGAAAACTGCCAGCTCTTTATCTAATCTCCCATAATGTATCTTTAAAATGTGAATATTAAAAGGGACAAAGTTTCAGAAGCACATAAAATCTGGACAATACATCGGGTCCTATTTTATATCAATAGTTACAGAATGAGCAACAATACACTTCCTGTTTCACATTATAATGTCATTGCTGACATATTACTTTTTGGGGTATTTAAATCTTATCGTACCTAATCGGGCGATGTATTTGTTTATTTATTTACCAACTGGAAGATTTGAATAATTCAACATCAAATAAATACTAAAACTGGATTATTAAAGTCACTGGAAGTTAAATTAATTTTACTCTGATTTAGTACGTTTTATTTCTTGAACCACTTTTCTACGTATATAGACAAACAACATACAACACGCGATATATTAAGTATCCAATGATGACGTTCTCAACACATTTACTACTGTCTGGCGTGTCTGTATTTTGTCTCGCATGTTTGTCTCGTTTATTTTTCATTCTCTCAAAGCTATATTATGTAATTTACTAAATTCTTTCATTGGCTAATTTTCTCACATAATATAAACATAATAAAAGTGTTTTGTAAAGATTGTCTACACATAGCATAGTGGTCATATCCATGAGGCGCGTTACCAAGACTTGCCAACACACAAATCACGTATACCAAAAACTATTTTTAAAAAAGCACTCGCCATTGACATTTAAATAGTCTAACGGCGAACCATAACTGTTGACAATGTCCCTAGGCCACCTACTAATTATCTTTATCATCTGAAATACAATTTTGATATACCGAGAATTAATGGAATTATGTATTGGTACCAGTGGTAAAACTCCACGGAGTTTCTGTTTCACGGAACATAATACTATAACAGTTTTGTTTATTCACCGTAGGTTGTAGAGTCTTTAAATATTTGACACCAACTATTAAAATGACACTCTCATGTGAAAATCTGTGCCGGAAATAAAATTGTCTATTACATAGAATATTGAATGTTGATTTATTTGGCGGGATAACAATCTGGCATCGTTTTAAATGTGACGTCCGTAGTTTTGTTGTAACAAATTTTATGTTCAAATGTCAACATTGGTACGTCTAAAATTTGTAAACATACCGGCTTTCGCTAAATGTCTCGTCACAAATATTTTAACGCATAAAGCTGGTACCAATTTGTTGTAACAAATTTTAACCTTAACTGAAGAGGCGAAGATCCTTTAAACATAATTGACCGACATTTTCAACAAACTATATTCGATGAACATTTTAATCTTCAGATCACGCCCATTTTATGCCCGAGGGGATTTAGTTTGACATGCAAATCTCGGTGCATAATAACTGAGTACAAAAAGGCTTAGTGTCTGTTTTCTGTATGAGATAATTAACACAAAAATCGTATTATTCTATTGCCTTTCAAATGCTATTCTCGAATGATGCAGTCTTTTGCAGGACAATATTGTATCTAGTGAACCATGACGACAACCACAAAAAAACTACTGGTGATCAGGAGTTTAGAATAACATATAGACGAGTAAACACCGTAAACACCCCTTTGTCATCATCATTTAAACATTCGTTGCGAATCCGTTAGAAACCGGTGAATACGGAAAACAGCTTAAGCATTCTCTGATACGTTTTCTAAAGTTGGCACTAAAAGCACATAGTAAGAAAAACTTGATAGAGCAGCTAATATAGGACAAATGCAGGAATACCAATTGTATCATGCCTTCATGTTTGCTCATAGAATGGGCTTCGTTATACTGTGAAGGTCGCAACAAATAATATAATCTAATAACGTGTATAGGCAGGTTCAATATCAAATAGGTCACTGACAGGGCAAATAACATTTTAGCCACGCGAACCTGTGGACATTTCACCATTTTGTTCTTCTGCTTCTTCGAACCCTTTAAAAGTCGTTTTCTTTTAATGCGGATAGAATGAACAATGGCGATAACTATGGCTATAAGCAACAGAGTCATGGCAAGGGAAGGAACCAGCAGAGTTAAAATGGAGTCGATATAAGCAACTATGCCATTCATTAGAGCGAACTCTGGCTTGCTGTTGCACACGTCTTGTTTGGTTCCTGGATGGTAAAGTGCGTCCGTGCTGAACAAACTAACACTGTACAGGAGAGCTGGCCCTACTGCAAGTGCTACGGTTACGATGCGCGCACGTTTTGGCGTACACATGTCTTTTATTCTGGTCGGATGACAAATCGTAATATAGTTCTCCACCGTAATGCACACCATGTACCAGACAGACAGGTAGCTACACACGTAAGTCCAGTAAACCCAAAACTGGCACATTCCAGACATGTGGTTGATTCTATAGCCAAGAACTTCCAGCCATACGAATATTAAAGATAACAGAAATCCAGTATCTGCAAACAATACAGCAAGAACATAAACACTTGAAGACATTTTTCTTAATTCTTTTCCGAAGAAGATCAAAATCGAGACAACATTTGCGACCAGCCCGACGAAAATTTCTGTAGGCAAGACGTAACTGTTAAAAATGGCGGCTATTTGGTGACTTATTTGTTCTTCACTGGTCATCATGTAAAATGTTTTGTTACTCTGATTTTCTGTGTCAATCAAATTACTTGTCGTATTCATTACTTGTCCAAGATAAGGATCAGTGGTCTCCATTTTGATTTACTAAATTTCAACTGTTCAAATTATCTGAAAAATAAAAGTAGGAATAAATAGTTTTTAATTAATTGATAAAAAAACCTATTCAATTCATGTATCTTATTGAAATAATGAAGAGTATTATACCATTTTCAGGACATCAGATAAAAATTCTAATTTCATGAATTACTATCTGTTTAATCAGTATCGTATTATGTTTAAAAAAACTCAACAACTGGCGCCTCTGTGTCACACTTGTAACTATTTTAGCCAATCGGTTTCAGATATTTCCCCGTGTAACTTATCGGGATTTATGATAAATATGTTATTTTGTTTATTGTCCGAATGTAAGTCTGTCATTAGAACTACCATAATTTCAAAAACAGGTTTGGTCGGCGGAATATATTATGTTCGAGGGGATATCTCTTCAAATGGCGTAGTATGTAGATTGTAAAACACAAATCCTATTCTTTTTTGTAATTTTGTTTTACTTCACTACACTACGTGAGAAAGGATAAATGCAGTAATATAGTTGGGAGATTTATGCTATATGAATAATAACGTTAGGCAAATATGAGAATTGTGACAATATTATGTCCTGGAAATAAACAAGTTAGATATCACGTAAACCAACAGAAATGTGTGGTATACTGATACCCTAAATGAACTATAGGTTAAAAAACACATTATTGTCATGTGTCTTCTTAATTGTCAGAAATATATCATATCCTCTCTTGTTTATGAAACTGAACCAACATTGATGAAAAGTATTGTGTGGGCCAAATTAGGTAATAATCCCGCCTGTATGGGGCAAGTCTATTCCATATTTTGAAATCGAAACTTTGATCAGCCTATGGCGTAAGCAAGTAAGGTTTGGGTCCTAAAAAAGAGCTAAACCAGGGCTCGAATTGTCAGACACCATTAGACACCGCTTGATTCTTAGAGAGCCATACTGTGAGGTTTCCATCAGCAAACTCGCTCTGCGAGTTTAGTGGGAGTGAGATAGACTAAGAGACATGTTATTTTATTGTAGTCTATTGTAGTTTTATTGTAACCATGCATCCTGCTTTGACATAAAATGTATAAAAGAAACTGTTGTATTGTTGTTCCTGATAGACATACGATTTGGTGGCTGAAAAACATACGTACACAACGTTGAAGTCCAAGATTAGTGAAGTCCAGAGACGAACCTAGACATCACAGGCTAACAATATATGGGTATATCAGGGAATGTCATGGTACGTTTTGGCGAGTGTGCTTTCCATATTCGACCGACGGGTAGTGCTCCATGAGCAGTGGCCAGGTTGTCAATGGCAAGTGGGCCCCCTTAGATATTAAACAATATTATATTTAACATATAAATTATCAATAAATATATAAATATTAGAAAAAAAATATTAGCATGAAAATATTATAAAAGTTCTAATATGTCTGCAATTCTATAACTGGATTATGATAATTACTATTGTCTACAATATAAATCTTAAAATGTCATGGGGAACTATTCTTTTTATATTTAGCTGGTTGTGAGGTCTTTACCATAGTTTTCCTTGAAATATCTCAAGCTAGCTTCAAATATTACATTTTCTTTGAAGAACAATATATGTTTTCTAACATTAGAATATCAGCATTTCTTCTTCCAACAGGTAATATTCTGATTCATCCCGATATTTATATCCACCAATTATATAGAAATTTGAAAAACATAATTTAAAAAAAATTAACAATTCAATAACTCTATTTACATTTGGTATCTACTGTATTCTACTGTGTACTGCTAACAGTATACGTAAACTGTAATTACTAAAGAGAACAAAATCGGGAAAATTTTAATTACATCTTTTTGTTCCCACTTACACATTTTTTGAAAGTTTAATTTATTCATTTTAAAAATTAAATGATATAATTGTATTGGTGGGTGGGCCCCATTTGCTTCCTGGAAACCAATATTTCCAGACCCAGTCCGCCACTGTACATGAGCGTCTATAATAAAAACCGCAATACACTGTGATAAACATTCCGTATAAATAGGCCAAGCCTGTGTTAGGCTAAAATATGGTTAATATAATATATCTGATCATATTCTAGATTTAAAAACATTAAATTTATCCAATTTCTCTGCTTACGGCAAGTTTGTGGACATGCAGAATCAAGCAGCTTGATCACACGAATGATAGGCGACAGAACAAAGACAATATTTCGGGAATCCGTCTGCCTGTAGATTGGGTATAGTTGGAACAAATGAAAATGGCATTTAGAGAAATATCCATTTCGAATCTTAAAAGGCATTTCTTCGGTTTGTCAGTTTAGATGAAAACACTTTAGACCAGCAGAGAAAAATGACGATTCATCTAAAGCAGTTTAGATTTAGTAGCCTTCAACAAAAACTCCGTAAGTCACCAAGGCCTTTACTCTGTATTGCTTTATAAAACGTCTTTAGTCCATTTTGTTGGTTACTTAAAGATCCATATAGATACACGAATACGTCAACCCGCCTGGAGGTGTTGCTGTTATATCAACGGAAGACTCAAGGCTATAAATATGTTATACTATCAATATTTTATTTTTGGTATTTTACAAGAACACTGGCCACGAGTAGCCTCGGTATATTTCAAGAACGGGGAAGCACATGCGGGGCTGGCGAGTAAATTGTTGCCTAGTCGTTCGAATCGAACGGAAAACAAATCGAAAATGAACAAAGTATTTTGTTGACAAGACATTTTTTTTGGACCAGGAACCAGTCGCTAACCGGTACCCATCTTGTTCCTCTTCTTCTTCTTCTTGGGGTGACGCTCTTCGAAAAAGCCTAAGGCTCCGCCAATTCAAGTTCGATCGATATGAAAATTGGCATGCTTGTTCTTTGAAAAAAATTGCATCGATAAGGTATTATCAGTCGTGGGTGATATTTATAATGGATATATCTTCTTCATCATGTCAAGTTAATACGACAAAGATCTAGTACCTTGAATACTTTGTTCCGCACTGGGGTGTTTAATTAGGATAAAGAAAACAGTAGTGACCGTAGTTGCCCTGAGTAAATAACAAGCTTTGCGTGTCTTTAACATACTAAATTCAAGTAACATTAAAGACATTTAATTATAAATCAATTACAAGTTGTTTGTTTTTATTAATGTCAGATAATGTGTCCAGTGTAACGTGTAATGAATGTTACAGTGTCGGTTAAGATGCTGTGGACTGTTTCAGTATACAGTACATGTAGTTAAGATACAGTGGGTGGGTGAGATCAAAAGTTGTGTTGGAGTAAATATATATGACGTAATGTAACACTAGTGTAACCAAAGAAGTGACATGGACACAAAAACGATGTCCTAAAATGTTTTGACAAGGTTTGCATTTCCAAACTTTTGAAATAAAGTTTCAAGGAAAAAGGGAGATAATTACAGCTTCATTTTCATTCAAATGTGGATAAAATTACAAGATAAAGTTTCCAGACAACATAAGTGTTACCCGAAACAAATTCAAACATAGCTTCCGCTTATCCTGCTTCCATAATTTCTTGACTTATTTCTTAAGAATTGACCCCATGAAATCTCAGATTTTGTGTGTTTGGTATAAATCTTGGAGGGCTTTTAATCTTGAATATTGATATGAGGCGATAAAATAACAGTATTTTATGAAAATTAGATAACACTTTACATATTATTACTTTTGATCCTCGATAAAGTGTTACAGGGGAAGACCAACGATTTTCAACAAGGTTTCCATAAACCTTAAATATATATTGATAAATAATCCCCTCTGTAGCACAAGCAAAAAAGTTTTTGTAAGCGAGAAATTATTTAATTATTTTCAAGCAGACGAAACATCTGTCACTTGCAGACTGTCAATCAAACCACGTGATGTAAACCCGACAGTAAAGGCACAGCGTACAGTTCAGTATGAGTGAATTTACGCGACGGCTTTGTTTACTAAACGTTAAAAAACCATAAATTCGTGTTTATAATATCCTAATAAACAATCCATTTGATCAGATGTTTGGCCAAAGACGAAGCGTGAACACAATACAGCAGTAAACTTGTGCCAAATCTGTATGCTTACTATAGAGCCCAATGAGCGTGTTTAACCAACTATGTCACTTCCGGTTTTAATAAAAATTAATTTCTCGCTTACAAAATCTTTTCTTTAACCCCTAGGAGATATATATACTGTCCTATTGTAGCCCATGTTAAACATTGGGAAACCTTCTATGTGCTGAGATTAGGGGAACACTAGAGTGATACTAGGGTTAGGTTCACTTCATTTGAGTAATTAAAAGCTAAGAGAATATTGTAAATTTGGTTGAGGTCAAAACAGTGAGCTAGTGTTCACTTTTGAGGTAAATAATTAAGTAAAAAGTAAAGTTTTAACTGCTTGTCTCACCTGGATCATATAATTATTCACTAATATTTTATATATCCTGATGAGCTCGAAATTAAAAACACTACTGACAGTGACAATTACGCTTCCTACTTGGATCTGCGTCTGGAATTTGACAATTGCCATTAATTGAGTATTAAATTGTACGATAAACGTGATGACGTTGACTTTCCGATTGTTAACTTTCCATTCATTAGTAGTAACATTCCAATATCACCAGATTATGGAGTGTTTGTGTGTCAGCTAATTCGTTACGCGAGAGCTTGTTCCTTTTATTCTGATTTTTTAAGTAGATCGGGGCATTTGTCATCTACGCTCAACTACAGGTATACTTGCCCACTAAACTTGCAAAAACCTTTAAAAAGTTTATGGGCGTCATATTGACTTGATTAGTAAATATAACATGTCTCTTTCGGCTATTATTCTAGATATATTTAATTGACGCGTATACTATCTCCCTGATTATGTCTACTACATCGTTAACACGTGCATTGTGCATACGGATAGTCCATTGGCCAATCACGCTATTGTACCGAGATTTCGTCTTATGGTTTGGATGCAGCTATGGCGGGTGTGGCGCCATGCAGGGTAAGCCTACTCTTCCGGACACCTGTTACCACTGTTTGACGTGTATTTTTTTAGGACTTCGAATTTTGTCTGATGGTTTG